AACCTAAAATTCAATCATCTGATAACAAATTTTATCAGTCGTATACAGTGTTTGTCGAAAATAGAGGTATTTTATATTGAGCAAAATTATATTTTTTGACAAACCTTGTAAAACCGACTGATAAAATTTGATATCGGGTGGTTGCATTTTCTGTTAGACCATGCATACATTTTTATGATGAATAACTTTTTTTCGTAAAATGAATAATAAAAAAGTTTTCTATTTGCTATCAACTTACATAGACATACTGTGTGTATGCAACTTATGACATATTGCTGAGCTAATGTTTTTGTAAGAAAAAAGAAATTAATCATAAAATTTTACTTCATTTGTAGAGTCGTAATTTTTGTTTTCATATTTGTACTTTTTTTATCAATTTAGAATTACAGTTACTACTTTCAATTATTAATAAAAATTACGTGTGTATTTTAGATTAATCAATAAGAAAAATAAGCATTTTTGAAATATTAATAACTAAATACAAATTAAACAACAAATGAATAAAAAAGCATTTAAAACACGTTGACTGCCGAAGCAAATGTTGTGGTCGGGTCTGCTGAGCCGAAGTAGTTTTTCTAAAAATTTAAGTCTGTTTTTACGTTTTAAGAGCAAAGTAGTTTAAGTAAATACTTAGGTAAACTACAATATCTAATAGAAGCGTGAATAAAATATATAAACGCGACGCGGGTTTAAATTGTTACAAACATTGTTCAATATTTCAATTTGTGTTGTAGACACGTAAACAATTTCTAAATGAAAGTTATATGAATTTCAAAAATAGGTATATTAAAGATATTTTTAGATATACAGGGTTTTGCGTTTTTGTCTGACACATAAAACGGTATATTTTTTAAGTAGAAAACCCTGTATTTTACTTCAGTTTTAGAATGATTTAGTAATACTGTATTTAACCCTAGAATTTTATTAACAAATATTGCAGGGTTGCCAATAAATTAATTTTTTTATGAAATTAGAGAATGATTCAGACCCCAAATTAAATTATCATTATTTAGGTAGGTTTAAAATAATTTCAAATTTTTTTTAAAATGTAGTAATAAGATACTAAGCTAACGAATAGTGGTAATAGAACTGGATTATTTTATACAGTGTGTTTTGAAAAACAAGTCTTAAATATGGCTAATTCCAAGTTAAATTTATTTAATTTTTTTCAAATGCCATACGCTGTATATTATTTAAGCATACAATTCCTTATAAATTAACATATCCAACGATACCAATATGTTAGCCAATAACACATACAGGGTGTCCCATGAGTGCGTAATTGATCGATAGCAGTTTTATAATAGAAAATACGAAAAAAATTAATATAAAATTTGTATGACCATATTTAACAATTATTTATAAATATACAGGGTAATCCATAAACGATTGTCTAACCAAACCTATACATTTTTAAAGCAAAACACAGGTAGTTATACATATTTGACTGTTTTCACATCGTCGAACAATAATTTCAATTTCATTCATTTGCTATGTTGTATATAGGGTGTGTCAAAATGGTCACGATTTTCTCAATTTTAGAATGAAACGCCCTGTATGTTATGCCACCAATTAATATAATATTCCATTGAAAAAAATTTAAACATTTGTAACCTCGCGTGTTGACACACCCTATATATAACATAGCAAATGAATGAAGTCAATTAAAATTATTTGACTACGTGAAAACAATCAAATATGTATAACTACCTGCAGGGTGTTTTGATTTAAAAATGTATAGGTTTGGTCAACATCTCGTTTATGGACCACCCTGTATATATAGGAATAATTTTTAAATATGGTCATACAACTTTTATATTAATTTTTTTCTTATTTAGTAATTGTATGCTAAAATATTATATCGGATGCTGCCTTTGAAAAAATTGAGTAATTTGACTTAAAAGTAACCATATTTAAGACATGTTTCAAAACACTCGCTATAAAAGAATCCAGCACTATCACTACTATTCGTTATCTTAATGTGCTATAAGTCAGTGTATTAAACAATTTTGAAATCAATGTAATCCTACCTAAATTATGATAATTTAATTTGGGGTCTGCATCATTTTCTAATTTTATAAAAATGTAATTGCTTGGCAGACCTGTAATATTTTTTTAAATTATTCTATGGTTGAATACAGTATTACCAAACCATTCTAAAATTGAAATAAAATACATGTTCTGTTTTAAAAATATGCCAAGCAAAAATGTAACACCCAGTATATATCCTAAAATATTTTTAAAATATGTATTTTTTAAATCCATATAACTTTTCTTTGAAACATGTTTGCGTGTCTTTAACATAAATTAAAATATTGAACAATTACGCACTAATGGGACATACACATGTTAACTCAGAAATAAGATTCCTTATAAAGATAAAATAACATTCAGAAGAAGAAAGCAAAGACCGCAAATATTACGTGCGTATCATACAATGATGCCAGGTCATTCGGATTTAAATTACATCGGAATGCAATAAAGTTCCTTCCCTCTCCTGCATTTCACCATTGTATATTTCATCCACTTTAAAATCAAATTCGTCCTAGAAAGAATTGTGAAATTATCGTATAAATCGATAATCTGGCAACGTGGTCAACACTTGTTCATACACAAGGAAAATAAATCGATAATTTGTAACCAAACGAGACAAATATATATGAAAATCACGAAACAATAAAAGACGGCATACAGCTGTATCATTGTTTCAAAAATTGGTACCTCTAAACAATAATTTACCTATTAAAACCATCTCTAAAACAGAGTAACTACATTGTTTTTTACGATGACATTTTCTTAAAAATAGATGAACTACACAATTACAGGAATTCATAGAAAATCTCTAATTTGACAAATAAATTTATCAAATATTTGTTAATCGAATTTCCAGTTAGATTTGAAAAATACGCAATAAAATTTAGAAATATTTTGGCGGGATACTTGGAAAAATATGTAGAATGAAATCTCCTACTTTTTAGCCTCTGGTTTTAAAATCACTTTTTATGATTTTTTTTTAAATTCAGTATATAAACAGAACAAATAAAAAATAGGAGATTTCATTCTCCAAACCTTATACTTTAAGCTGGTAGAAGATTCATTTTAATACATTTAGCGGGATTTAAATGCAATCGGAAATGGTGAACCCTTGCTTCTTATATGAAAAATATAGTGATACTGGGGCCTTAATATATTCTACCTGTTCACAGGCGACTTTAATGCTTTTTAAAAAGATACGAAGTTTGGTTATTTTCAATAAGTAGGGAAGAAAGTATTTTTTTAAGATTAAATTAAAAGTAAAAGATAGAGGCTTAGACAGGACATATATACAATCTTTAATAATAGCACTGGGAATATTATCAGTTTCAGGGGTTATATTGTTTTTAATTTTTTCTTGGCGTTAATATCATTATTTTCTGAAATAGATATCAATATGACGCATTATGGAAAACGGAAAATGTAGAATTCAGCAATATAATTATTACGTTACTTTTCATATCCTAGCGGGATAAAAATTGTTACGTAGAAAATAGTGAGTGCAGATTCTGTGAAGAGGAGGACAAAACTTCCATTCACATTCTGATTGAATGAGTAGCACTGCAGAATCCAAGGGCACTAACCTAGGGGCATTTAAAATAGAAGAGGGAGACTTACCTAACTTGAAGCCACTCCAAATCCTATACTTCCTTGAGAAGATAGGATTGGAAAGGTCGTTATAGGCATCGATACATTTCCTTGTTGCATTAGCGACAGTAGGGGCACAATAGATCTTTTATTCCGCAGTGTATTAGCACCCCATTCCCAACATAGCATAACAAAGTATGATACTTCATTTGAAAGTTAATTTTATTAGTAATTTAATTCACAACATTACGAAACAATGTAAGACTTAAATAGTTGAACAAACTTTTAGAGCTCTAATTGTTAGAAATACAAAAACTTTAATTAACCAGAATAACACTTATACCCCTTACGGATTCCCTAGGGATTAAAAATGTACTTTTAACCCCTAAGAATGATACCATATACAACCGAAAATACAGTACAAAGTTCAATATACCTCAACGCTATAACAACCTTGCACTGAAATCGTCGTTGTTTTGTTATTAGAGTATCGTAATTTTTCATAATTTTCATTATTTTTTTTTTAGTTTCTCTTTTCCTAAAGTACATAAAACAGCGTATAAACCACCGGACTAAATTGTTTTTTTAACCCTCGACGAATTGTAGCAAACTTTTCGCCTAGGGATAAAAAGTTCCATTTCAGTCGCTTGATGCATAATATACTATACCAGGCATTAAATTACTTATCAAATTAGCTTTCAAATGAAGTGTTACACTTTAGAATACCCAACACTTTTTTTATCGCGCCAGAGGGCGCTAAAATCAAAAGTAACGTAAAGAGCAGTTATATTATTGAAAGCCCCATAAAATTACTTGGTGCTTTTTCTATTTAAATTGTATTGGTTAAAGTAACGGAGGAGAATGACGTATGACAATATTATAAAAAGGTATCTTTTTTTTTTAATTTTCTCTCGAAATAATTCGCTAACAGTCCTTAAATACAGTTAATAATCAACATTTTTCAATAAAAAACTATCCCAGCACATCATAACCATTTTGAAAATTTTTTAATAATTTCCATTCTTTTAATAAATAATTCCGCAAGATTTTCTAACGATTCGTTTCACGCGTTGTTAAACAAAACTAAATAAATTTCAAATAAACTAGATAGATAATATTATAAATAACATTGTATTTAGCGTTACAAAACAGGTAATTTCGAATTTTCCTTAGTTTTCGTACCGACACGAGAGAGCACATATCTATTATAATTTGTGACATAATTCGGATTTTAAGACGTTCCAAAAATAACCAGTCGCTGTCTCTCGCCGCGCCGCCGAAATAATACGTCCAGAGTAGCGTCTAGATGCCGATACGTGTGTGCGAAAAAGATGCACGATCCATTCCATGACCCTGTACATAAAAAATGTCCAGGCGCACACATCCAGGATAACGGCGGGTGGGAGGGGAACCAGACGTGGGACTTACTTAACTTTGTCGAGAAATAAAATAAGCTGCTTCATACACTCTAATATCTAGCGGCTGTAGCGGCGGTTAGTTACTGAAATTCGATTTCTCGCGAAAAATTATATTTTCTACATTTTTCAGGTAAATCAAGGCCCTCAGCACCACACGGTCACCGATTCACAGTACGCGAGACCCATCAAGGCTACACAGACGCAGAGCGCCGCACCGCCCAAGCAGAATTTGGATTCCATGCTAGGAAACCTCCAAGCAGACATGAGCCGTCAAGGAGTCAACACCAGCCAAAAGGGATGCTGCAACGCCTGCGACAAACCCATCGTCGGGCAAGTCATCACCGCTCTGGGAAAAACCTGGCATCCGGAGCACTTCACCTGCGCCCATTGCAGCCAAGAATTGGGCACCAGGAACTTCTTCGAGCGGGAGGGTAAGCCGTACTGCGAGCCCGACTACCACAACCTCTTCAGTCCGAGATGCGCCTACTGCAACGGACCTATTTTGGACGTACGTTTGTGTTTATTAGTGCAATCAGTGCCAGTTTAACTAAACGTTTTTGCTTGCAGAAATGCGTCACCGCTCTGGAAAAGACCTGGCACATGGATCACTTCTTCTGCGCTCAATGCGGAAAGCAATTTGGCGAAGAAGGTTTCCATGAAAGGGAAGGAAAGCCCTACTGTAGGGACGACTACTTCGATATGTTCGCTCCTAAATGTGGCGCTTGCAACAGGGCCATAATGGAGAATTACATTTCAGCTCTCAACGCCCAATGGCACCCAGATTGTTTCGTGTGTAGAGTAAGTATCGCTTGTGAATAATAAATAACAGGAGAATCGTTTTTAATTTTTACTGTATCAGGACTGCAAGTTAGCCGTACAAGGAAAATCTTTTTACGCCGTAGAAGGTAAGCCGGTGTGCCCAGCTTGCATCGGCGCTGAGGAAGAAGAGGACGAATGAATATCTCCCAACCCCCTAAAAATATGCCCACTATCTCTTATGCCCCTCCCCTGAAAAAATGCCCCCCTCAAAAACCCTGAATTTTATTGTATAAAGTATATCGTTTGTATTTTATTTTAATAAAGGTGAAAAAAAATGAACAAAAAAACAAAATATATAAATAAATAAATAAATAAAAAAAACAACAAAATAGAGAAAAACAAAACAAAAAAAAACGGTGAAAAGGGACCACAAGTGTTATATGCCGAGACCTGTTTATTAACTTTTAATTTATCGGCGCATTTATTCGAGTGTTTCGAGTAAATCTGCCGGTGTTGTAATTATTTTGCTGGTTTCTCAGTTATTGTATTGTGTGGAAGCCAAAAAGTTTATTTTCGGAACGGAGACGTTTTAGAAAACGTTTATTTTTAAAAAAAGATTCGAATCTCGTTCTCGCGCTGCCGCGTCCGACGCCTGTGGTCTCTTTGGGAACCTGAAAAAATAAAAAAAGTTCAAAATAAAATGTTGATGATCAGCGCGCGTGTGTTGTGTGGTATGTGCCGTGCACGTATGTTATAGCGATTGGCGTTTGAGTAATGTCGTTCGAATACCTACTTCGATAAACGGAAGATCGTTCGGAAGTAGTTTTGTAGGTTTTTTTTTTTATACCGAATGGGCCAATAATTTTCTCTCAAAGTATAGGAGCTAAACTAGCTTAAAAAAAAATATTCAATTCAGTTTATACTACACACCAAAAAAGGTCAATTTCTAAAATACAGTATGGATGAACGGAAAAAATATTTGTTTTTCCAAAATTTGAAATAGGCTATGACAGAAAAGTCATAATGTGGACAACCTATATTAGGCAAAAATAAAAAAAAAAAATTAAAAATATTCGACCGCGACAATTATTGTTATTTTTAAACAATAATCATGGGTAGTCTCCCATCAAATTTTTATAAAATATTTAACCGGGACAATAATTTCATTTTTTTTATACAGAGAGTCCCATCAATTCCTTTTAAATATCTAACGGACACAATTTTTTGAAAAAATCTTCACTAGTTATACAGAGTGCCATTTTTTTTAATATTTAGCCGGCACAATATTTAAAAAAAAAATAATCATTAGTAGTAGTTAATAGTTATACAAGATGTCCTATCAAATTAAAAAAAAATTGACCTGGACAAAGTTTATTTTAAAGATTTGGAAAAATATAATGGAGGGTCCCATTAATTCGATTTAAATATCTGACCGAGACAATTTTTTAAAAAAATCATCAGTAGTTATAAATTTATAAAAATATATTTGTCCGAGACAATTTTAAATTTTTGAAAAAATAATGGGTTCAGAGTATCCCATCAATTTTTTTTTATATTTGATAGGCACAACAATTTTTAAAAAAAATAATCAGAATGTCCCATAAAAAATTTTAAAAAGATATTTTACCGAAACAATTTTTGAAAAAAATAATATACAGAGTGTCCCAACGAATTTTCTTTAAAACATTTTACCAACAATTTTAAAAAAAATAATCATCAATATTCAAGATGTCCCCAATCAAATTACAAAAAATATATTTAAAATTTGACCGAAACAATTTCTATTTCAGATGTTTTAATAAAATAATCATGGGTTGTAATACAAAGGATCCCATCAATTCTTTTTAAATATCTGACCGAGACAATTTTTTTGAAAAATCAGGTTATACAAAATGTCCCATCAATTTTATTTACAAATTATTTGTCCGAGACAATAATTTTTGTAAAAAATAATCATCAGTAGTCCCATGGGTCATTTTTTTTTTGGAAAAATCAACAGGTTATACGAAATGTCCCACAAATTTTTTTACAAATTATTTGTCCGATACAATAATTTTTATTTTGAATTTTTTGTAAAATATTGGGTAAGTTATACAGAATGTCCCATTAAATTTATAAAAAAAATATTTGTCCTAAACAATTTTTATTAATAGTTATGCAGGATGTCCTATCAAATAAAAAAAAAATATTTGAACGAAACAATTTTTATTTTCAATTTTTTGAAAAATAATAAAGCGTAGTTATACAGAGTGCCCCATCAATTTTTTTAAATATTTTAATGGCTTTTTTTAAATATTCATAAAAAGTTAAACAGGATGTCCAATCAAATTAAAAAAATTGACCTGGACAGGTTATACAAAATGTCCCATCAAATGTGTTTACAAATTATTTGAGACAATAATTTTAATTTTTATTTTTTTGAAAATAATGGGTTATACAGAGTGTCCCATCAATTATTTGTAATATTTGGTCGAACAATAATTTTTTGCAAAATTAATCATCAGTGTTATGCAGGATGTCCCATCAAATTTAAAAAAATATTTGACCGAAACTATTATTTTAAATAAAAAAAAAAAAATGAGTTCATATAAAGAGTGTCCCATGAAATTTTTTAAAAATATTTTAAATGCACAATAATTTTTTGAAAAAATAATCATTAGTAGTTATGGATGTCCCATCACATTAAAAAAAAAAAATTGAACTGGACAATTTTTATTTTAAATTTTTTCAAAAATAATATGTTGTTATAGTTCTATTATTTTTTTTAATTTTGACAATTTTCATTTTTGTTTTGAAAAAATAATCGTGGGTAGTTATACAGGGGTCCAATCAATTTTTTTATATTTGACCGGCACAATAATTTAAAAAAAAAAATAAACCTCAATAGCTATACAAAGTGTTCCATAATTTTTTTTTTAAATATTTGACAGGAACAATATTTGTTTTTCAAAATTATCCTTATTATATTTTTTGAAAAATAATTGATAAGTTATACAGAGTGTCCCATCAATTGTTTTTAATATTTGACCGGACAATAATTTTTTGAAAAAATAATCATCTGTAATTATACAGAATGTACCATAAAATTTATAAAAAAATATTTGACCTAAACAATTTTTATTATTATGAAAAAATAGTCATCAATAGTTAGTTATGCAGGATGTCCTATCATATATACTCGTAAAAAAATATTTAAGCGAAAATTTTTTGAAAAAAATAAAGCGTAGTTATACAGAGTGCCCCATCATTTTTTTAAAATATTTTACCGGCACTTTTTTTATAAAATTTAAAAAAATGACCTGGACAATTTTTATTTTAAAGGTTTGTAAAAAATAATCGAGGGTCCCATCAATTCGATTTAAATATCTGACCGGGACAATCATCATTAGTTATACAAAATGTCCCATTAAATTTTTAAAAATATATTTGTCAGAGACAATTTTAAATTTTAATTTTTTGAAAAAATAATAATTGGTTCAGTGTGTCCTATTATTATTTGATCGTCACAACAATTTTTTGAAAAAAATAATTAGTAGTTTTATACAGGATGTCCCATCAAATTTTTCAAGAAGATATTTGACCGAAACAATATTAATTTAAATTTTTTGAAAAAAAAAAAATAATATACCCATCAAATTTTTTTTAAAACATTTTATCAACACAATTTTTTAAAATAATCATCAATATACAAGATGTCCTATCAAATTAAAAAAAAAGTATTTAAAATTTGACCAAAACAATTTTTATTTTAAATGTTTTGAAAACATAATTGTGGGTTCCATCAATTCGTTTTAAATATTTAAGCGGGACAATTTTTTGAAAAAATCATCAGTAGTTATACAGAATGTCCCATTAAAATTTTAAAAATATATTTGTCCAAGACAATTTTAAATTTTAATTTTTGGAAAAAATAATAATAATGGGTGTCCCATCAATTTTTTTTTATTATTTGGTCGGCACAACAAGTTTTTGAAAAAATAATCATCAGTAGTTTTATACAGGATGTCCCATCAAATTTATTAAAAGGATATTTGACCGAAACAATATTTAATTTAAATTTTTTGAAAAAAATAATATACATCAAATTTAAAACATTTACCAACACATTTTTAAAAAAAATAGTCATTAATATACAATATGTCCTACCAAATTAAAAAAAAAATATATTTAAATGTCCCATCAAATTTTTTTACAAATTATTTGTCTAAGACAATTTAAATTTTTTGAAAAAGTTATAGAGTGTCCCATCAGTTGTTTGTAATATTTGGCCGGACAATAATTTTTTTGAAAAAATCATCAGTAGTTATACAGAATGTCCTATTAAAAATTTTTTTTTAAAAAAATAGGCTCATACAGTGTGTCACATCAATTTTTTTATATTTTACCGTGCAGTACTTTTACTTTTGAATTTTTTCAAAAATTAATCATGGGTAGTTAAATAAAAAATACTGACTGGGACAATAATTTTTTAAAAAAATAATCGTCAGTTATATATCCATATTTGACCACAAAAATATTTTTATGATTATACAAAGTGTCCCATCAATTTAATAAAATATTTAACGGGGACAATAATTTTAATTTTTAATGTTTTGAAAAAATAACCATAAGTAGTTAGTTATATACGGTGTCCCATCAAATTTTTAAAATATATTTGACCGGGACATATGTTTAATTTTGAATTGATTGAAAAAACAAGCATAGTTATACCTCATCAATTAAAAAAAAGTGTCCGGTAAATCACTTTTTATTTTTAATGTTTTGAAAAATGCCAGTGTTCTTTTTTTAATATTTGAACATACATTTTTCAAAAAAATATTTGAAGGGATAATAATTTTAAATTTAATTTTTTTTTAGAAAAAATAAGGGTGTCACATGAACTCTTATATTTTACTGGGTAGTAATTTTATTTTTTAATTTTTTTAAAAAATATTTGAGTGAGACAATAATTAAAAAAAAAATATTTAATTGGGTCAATAATTTTTTAAACGAATATTTGATCGATAAATACGCTTAAGTTTGAATTTTTTGAAAAAATACGCTTAGCTATACAGAGTGTCTCATCAATTTTTTTATATTTGTCCGGGACAATAGTTAAAAAAAAGAATCATCAGTAACTATAGAGGGTGTCCCATAATTTTTTTTAAATATATTTGGCCGGAACAATTTTTAAATAAGCATAGTTATACAAATCAATTTTTTAAATATTTAACTGGGGCAATATTTAATTTTAATTTATTGAAAATATAATCATGGGGGTCGCATCAAATTTTTAAAAAATATATTAACTATAAATTTTTTGAAATAATCGTGGGTGGTTATACAAAGTGTCTCATTAGTGCGTAATTGTTTTATTTAAAATGGGAATACTTTAAAATTATATTTGGATATACAGTGTGTCTGAAAAAGTTGGCAACAAATGGGAAACTTTTTTATTATTAAGTTTAGGAAAAAACGTCATTCTTCATAAAAAGTTCTGTAAGGCCTAAAACCCAATATACGATAATCAGATATCGAAATTTTCCAATCGTATACGAGGTTTGTCAAAAAGTATGAATTTTGCTCAAGAGTAAAGTACCTTTATTTTCGACAATATCTAAAATTGTTATTAAGAAAAGTTGATTAGAATTGAAAACTACGTTTAAATAAAGGTACTTTACTCTTGAGC